ACCCAGTCCCTGAGTACACAAAGCTCTGGGCAATTAACAGGTTAAAAACATACAAAAATACAGATTAAAATCAACAAATCAGTTATTCTTAATTTAATAGTCTCCAGATGGCGTCCATAATTTAGTCGAAAACCAACTCAGGACTGTTGTTCTATCTTGCAGGCGGGTTAACGAGGAGGCCGAAGCGGGCAGAATGGAAACCCATCGCTGTCCTCAACCAAAAGCCTTACAGGCCCTGCAGAATCGCATCAAGCCCTGCATAATTGCATAAGTGAACCTGTGTATTTTCTTACCTTCTGTTTCAGAATCAGTTTCCTGGCTTTTGTGCTCAAAATATTTGTTACCAGCCATTTCAAAAAACTGTAAACTGCCTTGAATGTATCCCATAAAGGTGGGATAATTTTTTTTAAAAAAAACCTTGTTTGTTTGTTGTCCAACTGGAGAATCATGGAAGCTCAGTGGCACCTTGGTTTATGATAGGATCCACACACATATCTTTCTACTTCAACTCTTCCTTTTCCCCTTACACTTAGAATTTGACCTCAAAACATTCACGGCAGAATCCACACCAAGCCTCTCTGCCTCAGTTGTTCAAAACCCTGTCACCGCTGTAACCTTCCCCCTAAGAATTCCCAGCATGATTTTCCCTAAACATATCTGAGTGAGTTGTGACTCGCGAAAACTCATACTGAAACAAATGTTAGTCTTTAAGGTGCCATGTGACAACAGACTAACATGGCTACCCCCTTGGCAACAATCATCATGCACAGACTTGAGACTAAATCTCATTGTTTTCACTGGCAAATCCTCCCCTTTGTGCAATTTTTAAAAAGAAAATATGTCCTATTTCAAAGCATCAACATGAGGAGGAGGAGATTGGATTTATACCCCACCCTTCACTACCCAAAGGAGTCTCAGAGCGGCTTACAATCTCCTTTCCCTTCCCCTCCCCACAACAGACACCCTGTGAGGTAGGTGGGGCTGAGAGCGCTCATTTTCATGAGAGCAGCTCTGAGAGAACCTGTCGTTGACCCAAGGTCACACCAGCAGTTGCATGTGGAGAAGTGGAGAATCAAACCCGGTTCTCCCAGATCAGAGTCCGCGCTTCTAGCCACTACACCAAACTGGCTCTCACAATTGTAAAGTAGTAAAAAAAAAAAGTGCTACATGCTTTTAGGACCAGATTAAAAGTGGAGAGAGGATATAAACATTTGCCACTACTTATGAGTACACTTGAAAGCTATCTTCCAGGGTCTGCCCCAACCCTCGGGATACCAGAGAGGGAAACAAGGAAGACAAAAGCAAGAAAAAGCCATTGGATGATGCATGGAAATGCTGCTTAAACCAACAGGTGGGAGGCATCTTCGGTCATACTTCAGTCCCCAATACGTCTGTGGGCAAACTCCACCAAAGGCTTTGGGGAATAAACCAAACTCCTGTACACGCATTGGAATCTTCCGTGGACCAAAGACAACCTTTTCACCATCCGCTAAGTGCTTTGGAGACTGCAAAGAAAATAAAGCAGCAAAAGACAGCCGCTACCGTTTAAGTATTTTATTTTTCTCCCTCCGACCTATATACAGTTTAGTAAATCCAAGTAACCAAGGTATTTCATCTTAAATAGCTGAACATATCTGGGTCATAAAAAAAAATACATCCAACACGCAAGACAGGATAGAAATATACACGCTATATACATTAAATAAGTGCTTTGACAGGGTTTAAGTCTGGTCTGCAGTCCTTTAACAGGGTTCAGCCTCGCAGTTCCCATTACGTGCCGCCCCCTTCTGACCTCAAAAGGAGACTTAGAGGGCCACAGAATGTGAGGAGCACAGGCTCCCAGTTGAGCTATGCAAGTACGGCAAAAATATATTGGCATTTTCCATAATTAGACCCAAACATATTCCCACCCCCACCCTACCCGTGAAAAAAAAAACACCCACTCCTTGAAGCAGGTCGGCTCCGCAATAGTAAAAACTTCCTTACCCTGTATACAGCTCACAGGTGGTTTATCTGTACAGCAAAATGAAAAACAAGCACATTGCACTGACCGGAACATGAATACTGTCTGAACTGTGTGCTTCTAGAATACTGGGTTAGCGCCCAACTTCTGAGAGAGGTCAGGAACTTTCCTATGACCTGTCCAGTTCTGATGCCTGCCGCTAAAGGTTTCAGATGTTAACCGCTCCGATGAATGATACTTATTGCTTTCTAGACCGTGGAGGAAGTCAGTATTGAAGTATTTTAATATGGAAGGACGACATTAAGTTCTAGCCATTCAAAAGACAAAACGCATAGCAAAACATGCTTTGAGTCCGTTCCTTTGATGCAGAGCCTCCAGGCCGACCCTCTTGGTAGCATCTGCAAAGATGAGGGCTGTTTAATAAGAAAAAGAAGGATTTTCCTACCCTGACCTGAATGTTTCCAGGGTTGATCCCACTGACTGCCAGTCTCAACGGAGTTGCCAGCTCCGGGTCAGGAAACACCTGGAGATTATGGGGGGTAGAGCGTGAGGAGGGTGGGATTTGGGTAGGGGACAGCATTCAGTGGGAGTACAATGCCATAGAGTCCACCTTCCAAAGCAGCCATTTTCTCCAGGGGAACTGATCTCTGTTGCCTGGAGATCAGTTGTAATCCTGGGAGACCTCCAGCCACAGCCTGAAGGTTGGCAAGCCCACATTCATTGCATCTGATTTATCCTGGAAACAAGCCCTTGCTGGTTTCAGTACTGTAGCTCACATCAAGGGGAAAAATGAGCTGCAACTGATCGAGGATTTATTCTCTTGTGGCTGATCTCAACATGCAGCAGAACGCAATGGGAATGAAATGGCAGAATGAAATAAACCGCAAGGAAAGGGATCATTTCTACATGTTCTTTATCTTCCTGCAAGCAGAAAGCTAGTCCAGGGGAATAAGGAGCTAGAGATGCTCTCTTCCCCCAGTAGGTTTATGTTCTTGTTGCAATGAGTTCTTACATGAGGAAATACTGAAAAATGTTATTACCCCACCGACAGTTTGAAGGGTTACAATGCATTCTACTACTTCTGAATTCTTCCACCTCATTCTTCTGCCACCCGCTAACCCATCCTGAGTTAGAGTTGCCATCCCCCCCCCGATGGGGGTGGGGGTTCCCCTGCTTTCGGGATCCCCAATCTGCCGATGGCCAGCTGGATGGCAAGGGGAGCCCCCCCCCCCCAAGAGCCCCAATGTGCCTGGCACGATGATGACACCTGGAAGTGAAGTCATCGCGCTGGGCACATCACATGGGGGACGCTCTGACATTTGGGTTTAAAACTCTATGGTGATCATAGAGGGTTTCTGTCTGAATGCTAGAGCGTCCCCTGCACAAGGACATCATTTCTGAGTGATATCACTGCACCGGGCCTGTCGGGCACGTGCCAGAAGATCCTGGTACCGGGCAGGTGCACCCCTGCCGGCAGACAAGTAAGACGTGGCAACCCTATTTTGAATATATTGAACTTGAAGTTGTATGCAAGTTCAACGTAATTATAGGTATTTGCCAACATCGGGGTTGGGGGTGGAAATGAGCAAACAATGCTTCAGGAACTGCGGTCATCTTTCAAAGCAAGCTGCATGCATTGCAAGCCAGTGTGCTTTGAGACAAGACAAGCAGGTCATGAAAAAGCTTCCGTGGCCTTACAGCTGGCCAAGTTAAGGCTATAGAATTCTTAATAAAAAGAGGCTTAAGTGCCTCAAAGGTAACAGATTTTTGCATTTAGGAAAACATCTGTGCAGCCATTTCCAAGACACGGGAGACAGTTACCCTCCCGCATTCAATGTGCGTTTCTTGAATCCGCTACTTAGCTCTTTCAGACAATCAAACCGCATGGCGCAGGGCAGAAATCAGCCAAATGAATTTGTTACTGCTAACTTCCCAAGACACCCAAGCCTGAAATACAAGCATACAGGGCCCTGAGTTGTAAAAAAGCAAGGCGTTTTCTTCTAGAACGCAGGATCCTTTTCCAGTCGCTGAGCCAAAGCTGTGGTTTCATACTACATGCACCTTTCCTAACCAGTGCTAAACACAAGCATTTCACCTTCAAGGACTGGAGACAATTTCCAGAAATCTTATAAGAAGCAATTCTAGGGAAGGCGGCATAATACCGAATCTCCCTCCTCAAATTTGTGCCAGAAATTTGTTACAAGCCATCCTTTGCATCAGCTAAAAGCTAAATACTGCTGTTCAAAACACACTCATATGGATATTCCTTAATTAAGGAGCATGTGTTGACTGAGCTGGAAATAAAGGGAATGAATGCAAGGGGGCAAAGGTCAGTCACAGCACCAGACGGAGACCCATCATCCAGTTTCACATAAAAAAAATCTCAAGCACTGCAGATCTGAACAAATAGTAGAGCTCTGGCTGAAAGCGAACAATTGAGCTTTCCCCATGTATACTCAGAAACAACCAATGTGCATTCTTGATACAGTGTCTTGGCACTTGTACCATGAATATCAAACATCTCCAAGTCAGGAATAAATGTTTCATGGCAGACGGGGTCTAACCTGCCCCATCCGGTCCGAGAAATATTGAAACAGCGTCTCAGCTGTCAACAGAAAGCGCCATCCATTTTAAATGCTATGACCGTGTTGCATCTTGAGAGGGGGAGATTTGCAGAAAATCAGCATGGCCACATGGCCTTGGACTGCTAAGAATGGGACTGTTAATGTCCCATTCACGGTTGAAGCCCCCCCACCCCACCCCCAAGAGCCATAAAAAGCTATTCATAACATAGGCCTAGGATTCCCCCTAATGCAGTTAGAAAGAATTACAGTGTGATCCTAAACTGTGTTACACCCTTCTCAGTCCACTTTAGTGAATGTGTTTAGAAGGGTGTAGACTCCATTTAGGATGGCACTATTGATCTCTCAGTCCTTGTGCTTCACCCTAGGATCTGCAATCCCTCACACTCTCTATCCACTGCAAGAGAAAGTTAGCCATACCTTCTTAAATACACACACTCTCAATTGTACTGGCCTTTATTATGTTCAAACAAAAAAAGTAAATTTTTATTATTTTCTTTTAAAAAAATAAACTTTCAGGTTGCGAAGATTGTCTGAATCCCCACATAACCTGGTTTATTTATACCACACACCACCTTGGTTCAGTAAATGTTCAGAGCACCTACAAAAACTGAAAATCAGTGTCCGTGGGGCTAGAGCGGCTACAGCTCCATAGCCTGGTTTCGTTGTTTTTTTTTAAAAAAGAGAGGGATTTGTGGAATGTAATACTTAGCCTGGTAATGGGATGAAAAGGAATCAAGTCAGGCAGGACTGGCACTTGAAGGCCACCGTTACTCGAACGAAAACGTGGTGGGGTTTGCTCTAGAACCAAAATATTTTGTCATCGCAAAGACAACCAAGTGCCCCCTTCAGAGGGTAATACGAGAAACAGGAATGTAATAAAAGCCGTGTGTTACGGCAGCGCTCTCAAGGCAGGCCTCAACTCAGTCAAGAGGCTTGCTTTTGAGAAAGTTTGCTTGTGGGCGGGGGATTTTTTGTGCATAAGTGTGTGATCGCACGCACCTGAGGCATCTTGCTGCGGGGCAATCCCATTCACTGGTGGTGCGTGGAAACCTAAGTTTCCGGGGGGGAAGTCCAGGGGGGGAAGGGGGACCTCCGGTAAAATATCTGACTGCGTTTTAAAAAAAGTGTTTTACCTTTAAAAGAAAAGTGGTGCTCCAAATGACAAAATGGTGTTATCTATAAATGACTAAAATCCTCAAAACTTACAGGAAACTCATACGAAGCGATCAGTGCGTACCAGAGCAAGTTCCGCAATCATGCTTACGCTCCCGGTCACCACAGTGGCAAGATGCTGCTGCGTTAATGAACGGGTTTCTTTCCTCACCTTAAATAAATCTGTACAGCAACATCTTAATGGGCCAATTTGGGGCCTGCGTATCCACTTGGATTTTATATCAAAGAACTGTGTGAAATGTGCAAGATTTCTAATGCGAGCCACCATTAGGCATAGGCCAAGATTTGAGTCCAGTGCTCTGACAGCTTACAGTAGCCCGTGGGGATAAATACACACTACCCTTGTGGCTGCCGGTTTGATAGGAGCATTCTCTGTCTGTGCGTGAGATGGTAGGATTCGAGTCTGGTCTTGAGTAGTTCCCGACAGCAGCTTTCCCGTTAACGTTCCCGCATCCAAGTTCCAAAGTGTGGATTCAGACAAATGTCGTTTGCTGCGGGCTGAAGTTCCTTTAGCTGCTACTGAAGGTAACGGCGTCGAGGAAATCTGAGGAAGTTTCTCCTCCACGTCTCATCAAGGGGTCCTTTACCTTAACAATTCAGGCCCAGCCCTGTCCAGTGATCCGGCACCATCAGAAAATACTTGTCCATGGCTTCACAAAACCTGGTCCGATACAGTTCTGGAGAGACCACGGTTGGCATTTTGCCTAATAATTTTTTAACAATGAAAAAAACAAGCAGACAAAAAGATATGCCTTAGAAATCAAGTCTGACGCAGCGATGCCATGAATGCTAAACATATGTGGCGGCTACTTGTTTCGATCGAGATGGCAGGTATGGGACAGAAGGCCTTCGAAAGAAGAGACCGGATTCCCAAGCCCCTAACATCCATCTACCTGGGCAAAGGAACCAGAGACGATTGGCCCCACATTTACCAATGGGAACCATGCTTGGAATACTGGACTTGTTCGAAAGGATGCTTTGACCAAAGGGACAAGGGCTGTGGTTCATGTCACTATTACATGCATTATCTTGTTTTTGCTACATTGTTCTCTAAACCGTTCTGTAACCCAGTTTTTGGCACTTCATAGATCCTGTGTTATACTGCCCTTATTGCACAGTTTTCTAACTTTGAAATCCAATCTTATGACACTGTTTAATATGTCTTATGCTACTCTTATTGCAAAACGAAGTTTGAGTCCAGTGGCACCTTGAAGACCAACAAAGTTTTATTCTGGGCATCAGCTTTCCTTCAGCAGCAGCTGCCTGCAGCAAACTTAGGAAGTGTGTTTTGCACACGAAACCCTGTACCCAGTATTGAACTTGGTTGGTCTTGAAGGTGCCGCTGGACTCAAACTTTGTTCTACTGCTTCAGACCAACACGGCTACCCCCACCTGAATCTATATCCTTATTGCATTGTTTTAGATTTTGTAATCTGCAAATAAACGTTTGCACAAAATCTGTGGTAAAGATGAAAGCTGGAACCAAGTCCAGAGTGCCAAAGAAGCCTTCGAGTTCCGTGATGCCCATTCCGCAGCTGCAAATGACAAGGAATTGCCCCTCGTGCTTTCCGTTCAGCCGTCAACAAACAGGATGGATGTCCACAGCGTTTCCGCATCATGGGCACTGCAAAGCGATCAGACTACTACCAATCAGACTATGGTATACCAAAACCTGGGAAGATGTTCTCATGGCAAACACTTTAGCCCAGGGTAAGAGCTTGTGGCCAACCAACTCCAAACATGCTGGTTTGTACCTTCCAGAATGAGGTTGGAGACTAAGGATTAACTACTGCATTCTTAACTACTCTCTTAACTACGCCATTCAAACCTTTTCACACTAGAGAAAATGCAATGTAGTTCTTTCCCACGCGTCCCCTGCCCCCAATCAGGACAATTATGTGGGCTTAAAAATGAGCATTTTATGGCTTCTGGTGTTCCAAGATGGGAGTTTGTATGTCTATATTCCCCGGAGAACTTGGCTCAGTTGAAAACATACACAAAAGGGAATAAAAAAGAACTGAAGAGGGTGGGGGGAAAGTAGTGTTGAATGTGAACTGGAAAGACTCCTCCAACTCACCTTGGCCTCCCAGAATGCCCGTTGACTTAACCACCATTTCGAGCTTTTTGTCCCAAGTAAACGTGCGGATGTAATCTACAACAAAGGGAAGGTAACCTGAGTTAGATACGTGACCTTGGATGCAATGACAGTTCCAGAGACTCTGGAAGAAGTGTGCCATTAAGCAAACACTCTCCACCACCACCACCACCACAACCATAGCTTCTTTGGTCTCCGTGGCACCAGTCCCATTCCCGCCATTCTGTGTTCCATCTCCCATCATGCCCCTCACCTGCCCCTTGTTCTAACCCAGCAGATCTTAACCTTTAATCCATGACCACCTGCCAAGGACACATCACCACTGAAGGCACCCCCACCCCCCAGGAAGAATTTTAGGCATAAAACCAGCCCTGCAGACAAGACAGCTTCATTTGCATGGGTATCTTCATGACCTTGGCATACAATACAAAGATCTCAGGCATACCTCTAACCAAGACCCTTGTGCCTGAGAGCCAGCCGACTCCACAGACTGATTCCCACTTTGCTGTCTGCCGATTTTTAAATGCCCCCACGGGGAGTAGAGGGTCAGGATTTCATCCTCAGAATAGCACGAGCAATATATTCCCGTTGTCGGCAGCAGGGAGAAGCTACTGCCTAAAATTTCCACATGCTCACCGTAAGCTCTGAATGCTCCTTCAGGACTGCAGGTCACCCCCCAGGCACGGCTCCCTCAGCTGTGGGGTCTTGTGAGCAAAAATTCTACTCTGTGAGCTACTGGCATTAAAGTTGTGAGCGAAGCGATTGGGCCGCTTCATAATTTGGTTTGCTCTGGAGCCGTCCTGCCTGAGCTAAGACAAAAATGTGTGAGCCGGAGGCTAAAAAAATCTGTGAGCTAGCTCACACTCACTCAGCTTAGAGGGAACACTGGCCCCAGGTTCATCTGGCTTCACCTGAAGTCCTCTGCCCCTGACCTGGATGGCCCTGGCTAGCATGATCTCATCAGATCTCGGAAGCTAAGCAGAGTCGGTGCTGGTTAGTATTTGGATGGGAGACCACCAAGGAAGTCCATGGTTGCTACACAGAGGCAGGCCATGGCAAACCACCTCTGGACATCTCTTGCCTCGAAAACCCCATGAGGGGCCACCATAAGTCCGCTGCAACTTGACGGCACTCTCCCCCACCAAAGATCCTATATCGCGTTGACATCATACGGGAATGTGGTTCATTCATACACATTTCAAGCAGAGTTTGGCAGAACACTATTTCAAACCTCAACTGCCTTGCGGAACTTCTCCCATTCCAGTGCCTGTCCTCTAAATACAAAGCCGACTGCAGTATTGCATAATCAGGCAGTGTGCTGAAAACAGAGAGCTCCTCCTGCTTTAATTCAAACCCCCGTGTTTTACATACAGCAAGAAAATATGACGCCAATTTCTGGGAAGGCGAAGGGTTATTCCCTACGGCACAGAGACCACATGGAAGCCATTCTACGCAGCTGTAACAGTGAGAGCAGAAGAAACCGAATGCTCGTCTTGCGTCATCAAGGAAAGCTGAGTATGTGTAACAAAAAAAGACTACTGAGGAGAACTCAAAGCAGAAACAGATGGGGAGGTCAAAGAAAGGCTGGACTTTATTCTTAGTTTGAGATTCAGGGAGGCTATCCAATCCATAATGCATTTAGAAATTGCCCCTGTATAGCCCTGACCTGGATAGTCCAGGCAAACCCGATCTCATGAGCTCTCGGAAGCTAAGCAGGGATGACTCTGACAAGTACTTGGATGGGAGACCTCCTTGGAATACCAGCAGTCGGGAGGCAGGGGCAGGCACCTCTCTCTAAATATCCTCCAGGCCGCCAGTAGGGGTCAGTCGCCAGAGGTCGCCATGACTTCCAGGTGCACACTCACACACACATGAAAAAGTACAAAAGTACCAAAGGGGGAAAAAAAGAAATTGCCCGTGTATCTTTTGTAAAAAGTCAGACACTATCCTATTTAGAGATAAATGACATACCTATTAAAATAAATTGTGTGTGTGTGCAAAACCCAAAATTTAAACCTAAAAGTGGACATATTGTTGGGTTGGATGAATTAACTGGATCAGAAGACAGCAGAGCCATTTCTTGCATGGCAAAGCAAACCCTTCGCGGGAACCGGCACAGAGCGGCCCCCAAGTGGCTTCCTTCTATCCGCTCCCCTCTCCCCCGCTTACAATAGCACAGAAATCGCAAAGGGGTGATATGGGTAGGGAATGCGATCCAAGGAGCACACCAGCGGATGGAGCAGATGTAACACAGCTACTGCATTATGCAAAGTGGCCCCTCCTGAGATGGCAAAAAAACAACAACCCCGGGGTTGTTTCAGGTCAAGGGTTACGTACCAATGATCCCAACTACCAGCTCGTCGCTGGTGTCGTCCCGGCCCACCAGAAGAGAGTAATCGATGATGAGGTGGCTTGAGAGGAAATGAGAGTCGCTGTGGATGGAAACCCTAAGGACAGCCTTGGAGTGTGAACGGATGTACAAGGGGTTGTCCCGCACCAGCTTCAAGAGGTTCTCATCCAGCAAGACCACGTCGCAGCTCTCTTTCCCCGTGTCTGTCTTCACGTTTCTGTTCCGCAAGGAGCCCTTCAGGTCGAAAACCTGGCGGGAGAAGAGGAGGCAGCTGTCATTGCAGGGAAGGTACTTCAGGGTACTACCTCTGCCTCACGAAATCATGACTAGTGTGGGGGGGTCACAGGACAGGGGCACCAGACTTCAAGCTGGGTTCACATCTCTATTCTGGCATAAACGCATCTGTAGAGCCTTCAAGTCATACGCCTACGGGCCAGGTCTTCGTCCATAAAAGGAACTAAGGGCTTATTTCACAAAGTTACTTCAAGGCTTTGTTTTACATATCTACAAGCAACTTTGCATCTTGCATCTTGGAACTGTGGAAGATGAAGAAGAAGAAGAAGAAGAAGAAGAAGAAGAAGAAGAGATTGGATTTATACCCCGCCCTTCATTTGGAGTCTCAGAGCGGCTGACAAACTCCTTTCCCCTCCCCTCCCCACAACAGACACCCTGTGAGGTGGGTGGGGCTGAGAGAACTCTGACACAAACTGCTCTTTCTCAAGGACAGCTGTGCCAGAGCTTGTGACTGACCCAAGGTCACATCAGCAGGTGCAAGTGGAGGAGTGGGGAATCAAACCCGGTTCTCCCAGATTAGAGTCCGCGCACTTAACCACTGCACCAAACTGTACTGTATGACTTGCATTTTTATTTTTTTATTTATTTGATTTGTATCTCGCCCTCCCTGCCGAGACAGGCTCAGGGCGGCTTACAGACAATATGTTAAAACAACTAAAAAAACAGAATTAAACAAAAGTGCAACAATATAATAATAAAACGTATCTTAAAGTGCTAGTACATTCATAGATGATGGTGGTATTTTTGATCTATTTGACTATGGTGTTGTCATGCCTTTACAGTTCATTAAAGTATATTGTTATTTTTCTTGTATGAATTTTGATAATAGAGTGTGCATACACAAAAAAGGGAGGAAAAACTTTTGTAAATGTAATTTTTTATTAGAGTACGTTATAGTGTCATATAGCATGATAGGCCTTTTGGCATAAACAAAATAACGCGGGGTTAATAATTCCTAAATCATGACAAGGGATATCATCAACGCTACTCGCTTGCACTCAAGAAACGCAGCTTCCTACATTGGCTGAGAACTAGCTCTGCTTCAGAACAACTCTGCATTCCTCACTGCTTTGACTAAAGCTTGTGGTGAAATAGCCTGCCATACGTGCGCTCAAATACAAGACGAACCATTTGTTTGCGTGCACACACAATCTCCGCTTTAACAGCGCTGGCAACCAGATGTTACAAATGAGGTCAAAGAAACTGAGGAACATTCAACAAAGGGCGTTTGGTCAGAATAAGATTAACACACATTTTAGCCAAGCCTTACGCCAGAATTTAATTGGGAAGGGTTCAGGGACCCCCTTCAAATTGGGAGAGACAGCACAACGCACTGGGATTTTATTTTTAAAACCGTGTCAGACGTTATGAAGTATCATTTCCTTTCTTTGTGAACCTCGAAGTTCCAAGATGTGCTAATTTTGACAGATTGAATCATAAAAGGGGGGGAGGATCCGCAGTTATTTTTGTATGCCCATTTAAGACAGCTTTGTGCTTTAACACCCATCAGCTATGTAACAAAACCAGATGACTCACTGCTCCCTTCCTTCCCCACAGCCTACTGCTCAAAACACACATTTTAATCTCATAATTCAGTCATATCTAATGAAAGCTAGGTCAAATAGCATGCAGCTTCTGAGTTTTGTCCTATATAAGCCTTGTGTCTGAAGGCATTCCTAAACTCAAAGGGAGCCCCTTCCTTTCAGAAGGGAGTGTTTATCTTTTCTTGAACCACTCTTTTGGCACTTTCACACATATTGGATAATGTACTTTCAGTCCACTTTCAATGCACTTTAGGGATCGTTCGCAAGTGGATTTTGCATTTGAACCGAAAGTGCATTACTCAGCATGTGTGAAAGCACCCTTAGTTGTAACAGCTTTTCTGATTCCAAGGGCTTCATCGTGTGCATCTTGAGTTCACAAGGCTGTTGCTACAGCCAAAAGGGACTAGGATGGGCTGCCAAAACCACAACGACTGGCCCTGGAGAACATGACTGACAGAAATTCAGGAAAGGGGAAGGGAAGACAAGCAGTCAAGCGTAGTTCTGCTATCTAAGGGGGTTTCTGGCAGCCTCCTTACCTCCTCAGGAAAACCCTGAGCCCAAGAGCAATCTTGCCATCCCGGCAGCTGAGCTGTAGACTCACCTGAGCCATCTTCCTGCCGTAGAAGAGATTTTCCATGACCAGCAGGTCAAGCTTCTTCTCTGTGTTATTCTGAGAGTTCTTGAAACCAATCCGATACACCCCAAGGATCTTGGCCAAAGCTGTGGGTTTCTGAAACAGAGAACACATGTTTTGCTTAGCAAAGAGAAACTGCTAGGGATGGGCACAAAATGGAAAAATGTGGTTCATGTTGGTTCGTAGTTCATGGCCGAACCACAAACTGAACCGGGGTTCATTCGTGAATTGACCAGGTTCATGGCCCTGCAAACTCAATTAAAAGGGACTGCAATCCAGTGTTCCCTCTAAAATGAGTTAGTGTGAGCTAGCTCAGTTTTTTAGCCTCTGGTTCACACATTTTTGTCTTAGCTCAGGAAGGATGGCTCCAGAGGCAAACTAATTTATGCAGTAGCCAAATCTCTCGCTCACAACTTTAATGCCAGTAGCTCACAAAGTAGAATTTTTGCTCACAAGAATCCACACATTAGAGGGAGCATTGCTGCAATCCCTTTGAACAGGCTTTGCAGAAAGCCCGAAAAACAGCTGAGCGGTGGGGCTCCTCACCACTCAGCTGTTTTTGCAGCATTTGCCAGGAACAGAAAGCACCACGAACTATATTAAAAGTTCATGATGCCAGAGACCTGTCACGACCTTCGGTTCGCAAAACACGGACAGGACAAAATTTGTGGAAAAATTTGCTTTGTGGTTCGGTTCTGCCCATCCCTAGAAACGGCTCAATTTTCAATAGTCATGACAGAACTAGTGTTCATCTATATAACATTAGAACAGTGGTCTCCAACCCTTCCAGACACTGGGGACCAACCTTTAACCACAAGTGAGAGCGTGGTACCCATTCAGCAGCAAATAGGTGACAAAAGTAATGTGACATGGTCATAAGACAGGAAGAGGAGGAGTCACGAGTCTCTGAACCTGTTTGTATTAAAAAGGACCCTTCTCTATCACTAAAGGGACTCTGTCTTGCTGTTTAGCGGCTCTTCTTCATATTCAGGCAAAGAGAATGGAAATATAGCCCCTTTATTCTTTCTGTACACCCACTAGACAGCTCTATAGGGGCTCGGGACCCATGGGTTGAAGACAACTGCATGAGATCACTTGCGGGCAGGGGGAGATCAGCAGAAGACAGGTAATATTACAAAAACATGGCCAGACTCTCTAACCCAATCTTACTTAAAGATGCATTCTGTGTTGATTTGGACATTCTTTAAAAAAACCCAAAAAAACCCCAGAACATTCTTAAAAACAGGAGCAACCAAGCAAACAAGAGCAAAGCTCAGCCAGAATAATTCTCCAAGCCCTACCTTATGCTGTACAGCATTCGTAATGTACGTGAAGTAGTGCGGGGCAAAGTCTAAGAAGGACTGGACCTCCAGGCGGGGCATTTGCTTCAAGATAAAACGGTCGTCTGAAGAACAAGCATTAAAACACTGTATGAGAACGGAAGAGCAGAGGTGGCGTATATTGACTGGCTGATCCCGTCCACGGTCACCATCTAAACTGCATCGTGCACATGGAAACTGTAGCTCAAACATCCAGCTTTCAGCCCTCGGTGCAAGAATGATAAAGCGTCTGGGTCTCAATGCATTCAAGGTGCCAGGCCCATCCTGCTGCAACAAACACACTGAACCAGCACCGATACAGAGGATGGGGGTCTATACTACTAGCTTACTGAAAGCAGGATTCTCTTATGTGATTTTCTGCAGTGTGTAAGGGCCCCCAGTATGGTGTCCATGGGTGGCATGGCACCCATCAAGTGCTTTTTAAAAAATAAGAAGGGCCAGGTAGGGCACTTGCCCAGCAAGATTTCTGATTGGCCATTGGAAATTTGATTTCCTGTGCAGATTTTTAAAAATGTTGCTTTGGCAGCAGCAGAGCCAGTCTGTTGTAGTGGTTAAGTGTGCGGACTCTAATCTAGGAGAACCAGGTTTGATTTCCCCCCAGTCCTCCACATGCAGCTGCTGGGTGACCTTGGGCCAGTCACAGTTCTTGCAGAGTAGTTCTCTAAGAGCTCTCTCAGCCCCACCTACCTCACAGGTTGTCTGTTGTGGGGAAAGGAAAGTAAGGAAATTGTAAGCCGCTCCGAGACTCCGAGTGAAGGGCGGGGTATTAACCCAGTCTCTTCTTCTTTTTCTTCTTCTACCACAAGGATATTCACTATGTGACTGAAGATAAATTGTGGCAGCCATTTTGTAGCTGGCTCCCCCTCCTGAAGCAGCCATTTTGGGGCTGCATTCACCACGCTGTGTCAGAATTCCAAAGGGGCCCACAGACTCAAAAAGGTTGGGTTTAACGTATCATGTGAGATACTCATGCGTTGCTTCAGTTCTGTTTTTTAGACTTCTGGCTGCTTCCAGACTTCTAATCCTAATCCTGTTGCTTCGTTTATCGGATGTCACAATCTGTGGATTGTATTGACTCACCCTGTGTAACCCGCCTCGAGTCCCAAGTGATAAAGGTGTACTATGTATAGAGTAAATAATATGTAAGTCGAAACATTACCTTCGGTTACATAAAAAGCAGCTCCCGATTTGCCTCCTCGTGCCTGCCAGGGCAAAGAGTGAGAAAGAGAACGGATGAAATCCTCTTCGCTGCTCCCAAGTATCACTTCACGCATTTTATGGAACTCTCCCGCATAGTAAATTCGGCAGTAGAACTTGGCGTTTGCATCAGAGAATTCTGCAAAGGAAGGAGAAAGCCCTTTATCAACAAAGGCAGCGGGAGGTCCACGGGCCAGAATGGCTGCTTCTTGCTAGCTCCACCAGAGACCTGTTTTCCTCCTTGAGATGTGCCCCTTCACAAAGAACTAATCTGTCACACCAAACATGCAAAAAAGGGTCACACACTCTTTCTGTGCACACAATACGCACTAGTTTGGTGTAGCGGTTAGGAGCGCGGACTCTAATCTGGGATAACCGGGTTTGATTCCCCATTGCGCCACATGCAGTTGCTGGTGTGACCTTGGGTCAGTCAGAAGTTCTCTCAGAGCTCTCTCTCAGCCCCACCTACCTCACAGGGTGTCTGTTATGGGGAGGGGGAGGGGAAGAAGATTGTGAGCTGCTCTGAGACTCCTTTGGGTAGTGAAGGGCGGGGTATAAATCCAACCTCTTCTCTTCTTCTAAATAAATAACCACCCCACTGCTTGACAGAACAACATCTCCTTGCCAGTGAATTTCCTTGCCAGTGAATTTCCGTGCCTATGCAGATGTCCCCAAGTGAGAGATTGCTTGCAAAGACAGACACATCTGGAAGGAAGGGAGGAGATGGGCGGGGGAAAGATCCAAAGGCGCTGCTGGAAAAATGGGTTTCAAAGTCTTACGCACACACCCCTCCCCCATCTGCAGATTTTGGAGCCAGTTTACAGGCACCCACAGAGAGAGAGAAAGCAAGAATCAGCAACCAGCTTCCGCAGCAGGGCAGCGCTGGGCTCCAGGACACCAACTACTGTTACAATTCTTGGTCTGACCAAGAGAGCCCCCCTCTTGGTTTGGATATAGGCTATATGACAAAGGCAGGCAGGCATATTTTCAATAGGGTCACAACCGCAAGACCCTCTTCCTTGTTTCAGAACTTGCAGCACCAACCATTAAGACAGGCTCTGCTGAGCACGTAATTCGTCGAGCAAGTTCATTACAATTTTGTGGAGTAAGGTGGTTGTTGTTGTTGTTTTAAGAGTGTTGCGGCTTGCTTCACAACAAAGCAATATAAAAAGTCTTAATGCACCCATGTTGTTACATTATGAGAAGAAGAAGACAACAATACTGTTAAAAACATCAAACAAGAAAAGTTAAAGTTAATACATACCATTTCTTACATTCTTAAAATAATCTCAGATGGGGTTACTTATCTGTGCTTAAACCCATTCTGAACTGTGTTACCACCCCGTAGGTGGGGTAAAGACTAAGAGGAGGCCAAAACATCTCTGCCTTATTAAAAAAATAAATTCGTAGGATGCTGAACTCTCTTCTGCAGCTGTAGAATACACACACCCTGCTCTACAAGGCACCAACAGGTATTCCACTGAGAACGCCTGCTGTGTTTTTAACACAAAATCAGAGGCTCAAGTACTACTTAATGAAAAAGCAAACACATTGTATTCTATTTGAATGTAGAAACCCACCTCTTCTTGTTTCAGCTGGCTGCCCATTCGTATTTATGACAAGTGAAAGATCAACCATCCTCTGGCTCAAGAGGCCTGGGTATACCAGTTCTACACAAGAACAAGAGTCCACTTACAGGTGTGAGTGAAGTGCCTTCTCCTTAGGGTTGCCGGCTCTCAATTGGGTAATACCTTTACATTTGGGGGGTGGAGCCTGAGGAGGGAGGGGTTTGAGAATGGAGTTCAATAGGGTATAATGCCATAGAGTCCACCTTCCAAGGCAGCCATTTTCTCCAGAAGAAGAGAAGAAGAGATTGGATTTATACCCAGCCCTTCACTTGGAGTCTCAGAGTCGAGGACAGGCAGGTATCTTTGGGGCCATGCAGGACACACAGACTCCTTGCCAGAAGTCCAGGCACCTGTCGAGAAAGAGTAAAACGGAAAGATGGATCAGGGATGCCTTGCCATGGGGGGGAGACACGCAACTCCTCCCCCCAGCATTCTTGCAGACGAACAGAAGCCCCCTTCCTCTCAAGCAAAAGACTCAACTGTGACTGTTCTCCAAACGCCGAGCTGTTAAAAGCAGCGAATGTCTCAATGAAACAAAAAGGTGAGAAACGCAAGTCAGCTGGCTCATTGGTGCAAGCTTCTCTACCACACAGTGGTGCCTCCAGAACCTGATACTATTTATTTATTTATTTTAATTTATGAATCACCCAATCCCTGTATGGACGGGGCTCTGGGTGATGTGCAACAAAAGTTAAAATCATCAAACAAGAAAAGTTAAAGTTAAAAATACATACCGTTTCTTACATTCTTAAAATAATCTCAGAGGGGGTTACTTACCCGTGTTTAAACCCATTCTGGACTGTGTTACTGCCTCACAGGCAGGGCAAAGCGGAGGCCGAAACGGGAGAGATGGTAGAAAGGGGGGATTCTGCCAGCCATGATGGAAAACCATCGCTGCCCTCAACCAACAGCCTGGTGAGACATCTCTGCCTTACAGACCCTGTGGAATTGCATTAAATCCCACAGGGTCCTGATAGTATTTGGCAGGGAGTTCTGCCAGGTCGGAGCCAGGACTCAGAAAGCCCTGGCTCTGGTCGAGGACAGGCAGGTATCTTTGGGGCCACGCAGGACACACAGACTCCTTGCCGTGCAGCCCTTCTTTGGGAAAGATCTGAAGAGAAAGAGTGGAGCTTTCTGCAAGCACCTGTGTCTCTGTCTAAGAAGACTGTTGAGCGGTCGCATAACTTGGAGGGACCCCCACCACCCCGCCAATGCAAGCTTACCTGCAGCATCTGCTCCTTGATTCTCCGCACCTTCTTTGCCCGTCTGCCCAACCTGGTAGTAGGCACTGTCTGCTCCACGCAAAGTCTCCTTTTTCTGGGCAGAGAGATCGGGGCTTTTCCCTCCAGTTCCACGGAAGAAGGATAGCACTCCGTACGGCTTCTTTGCTACACCCAAAGCAAGGAGGGGAAAGGTTAGCACTGGCTGATCAGTCCGCCTCCATTCAGTCAAATCAATGTAGCAGAACCGTCGTGGGGAAACTGCCTGCCGTTTTGTCTTCTGGCAAGTGTATTTGTTCCAGAGTTCCACACAGAGGGATTTCTTTCTCGGTGGGGACCATTCTGCTCTGGGTGATGTGCAACAAAAGTTAAAATCATCAAACAAGAAAAGTTAAAGTTAAAAATACATACCGTTTCTTACATTCTTAAAATAATCTCAGAGGGGGTTACTTACCCGTGTTTAAACCCATTCTGGACTGTGTTACTGCCTCACAGGCAGGGCAAAGCGGAGGCCGAAACGGGAGAGATGGTAGAAAGGGGGGATTCTGCCAGCCATGATGGAAAACCATCGCTGCCCTCAACCAACAGCCTGGTGAGACATCTCTGCCTTACAGACCCTGTGGAATTGCATTAAATCCCACAGGGTCCTGATAGTATTTGGCAGGGAGTTCTGCCAGGTCGGAGCCAGGACTCAGAAAGCCCTGGCTCTGGTCGAGGACAGGCAGGTATCTTTGGGGCCACGCAGGACACACAGACTCCTTGCCGTGCAGCCCTTCTTTGGGAAAGATCTGAAGAGAAAGAGTGGAGCTTTCTGCAAGCACCTGTGTCTCTGTCTAAGAAGACTGTTGAGCGGTCGCATAACTTGGAGGGACCCCCACCACCCCGCCAATGCAAGCTTACCTGCAGCATCTGCTCCTTGATTCTCCGCACCTTCTTTGCCCGTCTGCCCAACCTGGTAGTAGGCACTGTCTGCTCCACGCAAAGTCTCCTTTTTCTGGGCAGAGAGATCGGGGCTTTTCCCTCCAGTTCCACGGAAGAAGGATAGCACTCCGTACGGCTTCTTTGCTACACCCAAAGCAAGGAGGGGAAAGGTTAGCACTGGCTGAGCGGTCCGTCTCCATTCAGTCAAATCAATGTAGCGGAACCGTGGTGGGGAAACTGTCTGCCGTTTTGTCTTCTGGCAAATATATCTGTTCCAGAGTTCCACACAGAGAGATTTCTTTCTCGGTGGGGACCATTCCGGCAGCCACCAGCTGATAAACCCAGCTTGATGATACAGACACAGATCTGGTGCTGCCCCCTTCTCCCCTTCATTTTCTGATTTATGAAAACGTTAAAACTTTAGTCATTTATTTGGCAAAGCAAAAAAGGCCATCAGATCAGAGTGGGTTGCTATTCTTCTCGCCTTTACACTTCAGATGTTGCTCATTGGTGAAGTGGTTAAGTGCGCGGACTCTAATCTGGGAGAACTGGGGTTGATTCCCCACACCTCCACTTGCAGCTGCTGGATGACCTTGGGAAAGCCGTAGTTCTGTCAGAGATGTCCTTGAAAAAGAGCCGTTTCTGTCAAGAGCTCTCTCAGCCCCACCTACCTCACAGGCAGTGTTCCCTCTAAGGTGAGTTAGTGTGAGCTAGCTCATAGTTTTTTAGCCTCCAGCTCACACATTTTTGTCTCTGCTCAGGAAGGAGGGGCTCCAGAGCAAATTAATGTATGCAGTGGCCAAATCGCTCGCTCACAGTCTCCTTTTTCTGGGCAGAGAGATCGGGACTTTTCCCTCCAGTTCCACGGAAGAAGGAGAGCACTCCGTACGGCTTCTTTGCTACACCCAAAGCAAGGAGGGGAAAGGTTAGCACTGGCTGAGCGGTCCGTCTCCATTCAGTCAAATCAATGTAGCGGAACCGTGGTGGGGAAACTGTCTGCCGTTTTGTCTTCTGGCAAATATATCTGTTCCAGAGTTCCACACAGAGAGATTTCTTTCTCGGTGGGGACCATTCCGTCTTCTTCTTCTATTGGTGGGAGGTTTTTTTAGGACAAAGTGTACAGAGTCAGAGGACTAACTCACTCATCTTCAGGATACCTTCTTCTACCAATGGAAAAAGTAATCTATCTGTCTTGACGGCAGCTTCTGTTCCAAAAATAAAGTTGTAATTGTGAAGTGTCCTGAGCATTAGGGATAGAAGTCTGACATACCTATCATGGAGACAGATGATGATGGGTAGCTGTGTTAGTCTGCCTGTAGCAGTAGAAAAGAGCAAGAGTCCTTTAGTCATTTATTTGGCAAAGCAAAAAAAGCCATCAAATCAGAGTGGGTTGCTATTTTCCTCGCCTTTACACTTCAGATGTTGCTCACTGGTGAAGTGATTACCGTAAGTGCGCGGACTCTAATCTGGGAGAACTGGACTGCTCACTTCTTCAGATACCAGAAGTCCACATACCTATCCAGCCACGCAGCCATTCTGAAGATGGGATTAGGAACCACCAAAATACAGCCATGATATGATGACTCAATATAACATTGTATAATCAATTATATTGTTTACCAAGCACATTCATATAAACTTATACATGCAAAGTTTACAATGGATAAATGTTTTAAATAAATAAAGTACTCGTGCCAAAGTTCAGTTCTAATTGTTATCAGTTAAGGATAAGGAAACAATTAGAACTGAACTTTGGCACGAGTACTTTATTTATTTAAAACATTTATCCATTGTAAACTTTGCATGTATAAGTTTATATGAATGTGCTTGGTAAACAATATAATTGATTATACAATGTTACACTGAGTAATTACATCACGGCTGTGTTTTGGTTCTTCTTAACTGCTTTTCCCGTGACTTCTCGTCTATTGCTATTGTTCTGAAGAAGTGAATAGTGACTCACTGAGAAACCTTTGGGTAGTGAAGGGCGGGGTATAAATCCAATCTCTTCTTCTTCTATTGGTGGGAGGTTTTTTTAGGACAAAGTGTACAGAGTCAGAGGACTAACTCACTCATCTTCAGGATACCTTCCTCTATCAATGGAAAAAGTAATCTGTCTTGACGGCAGTTTCTGTTCCGAAAATAAAGTTGTAATTGTGAAGTTCCGTGAGCATTAGGGATAGAAGACTGACATACCTATCATGGAGACAGATGACGATGGGTAGCTGTGTTTGTCTGTCTGTAGCAGTAGAATTCATGAGTCAGTGCTCTCTTCTTCAGATCTGACTCACGAAAGCTCCTCCCCTGCCAATAAATTTTGTTCGTCTTTAAGGTGCTACTGGACTCTTGCTCTTTTCTGCTGCTACAGACAAACAAGGCTACCCGTCTTGATCTATCTCCATATGGCAGGCCTCTTCTTTGGTGGTCACTCACTCTCCATCCTCCTCTTACAGCCTAGTTCTGGCCACTCCAGTGAAAATGTGGCTGCTACGTACCACTTCAGATTGTTAATAAGGGCTCTTTTGGCTGGATGTTCTGTCTGGCAAAAACCTGACATAACAAGAGCCCTGTTGGATCAAGCCAGTGGTTCATCTAGTCCAGCATCCTGTCTTACACAGTAGCCAGCCAGTCATTCTAGAGGGCCAACAAACAGGTCATAGAGGCCAAAGCCTTTCTTGGACATTGCCTCCTGGCACCGGGAGGTTTACTGCCTCTGAATGTGGAGGTTCCCTCTAGTCCCTGTAGCTGGTAGCCACTGATAACCCAGCTCTCTCCCATGATCCCTTCATGGTTATCAGTCCCTCTTCCCAACATATTACCTTTTCATACAGCAGAGCACACAGTCTGGTGAAAGTCCCACATGGTGCCTGAAATGGCGCAGGCTGGCCACAGGCCGACTCCTGCAGTGCTAACTAGGACCCTTCCCGGTTGGTCTCCCTCCCTTCTGCAAACAACGTCTCTCTCAGAATTCAACAGAGCAAGCCACTTCTGGTACTGTGGCAAGCCCCTGTAGTGAGCTGCAGCTACAAAGCACAAGTTTGTTTATTCATTAAATAAAATATCTGTATCCTGCTTTTCCTCCCGGCTCAAGGGGGCAAAGCTTAACATAGCAACACCTGAGATTGTGAAAAGGTAAAAAGGTAAAGGTTCCCTTGCTCGAAAGCCAGTCGAATCTGACTCTAGGGTTGCGGTGCTCATCTCCATTTCAAAGCCGAAGAGCCAGCGCTGTCCAAAGACATTTCCGTGGTCATGTGGCCAGCATGACTAAACACCAAGGCGCACGGAATGCTGTTACCTTCCCACCGAAGTGGTACCTATTTATCTACTTGCAATTTCTTGCTTTCGAACTGCTAGGTTGGCAGGAGCTGGAACTAGAGATGGGAGCTCACTCCGTCATGCGGCAACTCGGGTCTTGAACTGCTGAACTACCGACCTTCCACAGCCTGCAGTTCAGCATCTTAACCACTTGAGCCACCGCAGCTCCTGAGATTGTGAAAGGAGTAACTAAAACCTTTGGTTGATCAGATCAGCTTTGATCATGCGCCAGGTCAGTTTCGACAGCTTTACAGCACAATCATATGTAGACTAGGTTGGGGGGGGGGGGTTGCATCAATATTGGTATCTCCAAACATTGCAAAGCTGGTAATGAATAAAAACTGAAGTAAGCCTCAGCTAGAATATACCCTAGTTGGCTTTCCATTATTTGCTTTCCTTGCTTAAACTTGTGTTCGATTTCTGAAGCAACACACGTCCTATCTCTGTTTAAAAGGGGAGGGGCACCAAAATTCCCCCATTCTTACGCTGTTCCACCTCTGCCACTTGGTTCGTTGGTCCCACGTTCGTCTCAGGCAGCCGGACTGGACTGTTGTTCTTTGCTCTGCTCTCGGCCAGACTGGAATCAAAGACTTGTTGTCAATATGCTTTTACAACCCACCATCCAAGAGAACCTTCATTCGCCACAGACACATGCCCTTTAACCCCTAAGTTCAGTAATAGGTCCCCCATCCTCAGACCTTGGAACATTGGCCTTCGAACATGACAAGTCCTGGTAGTTCAGAACATCTGGTCCCACCACACATGCCCAAAGGGGACCAGTCATCCTCTGAGTAAGACACGGTAGCAAAAGCCACTGCTCCCCTCAAATGGCATTCAGAATTACAAACGGGGAGATTCCAGACAGCTGTCTCGGCTGGTAGCCATTGACAGACCAACAGATGATACGAGGGAGCACAGACAAACCTCCATACGGAGGGTGCATAAGAAAGCCACGAGACTGACCTTATTGAAGTCTCACTGCACAGGTGAGCAAAGAGAACATTTTGGGACTGCAAAGCTGTCTCATGCTACAAGGCACCCTCCCCTTCCCACCACTGCTTTAGGTGTTAGACTCCAGGGTGTACGTGTGGCAGAATTTGATATTCAGGGAGACTTGGACATTTATGTATATGGTGTATATTGAATAGATTTTAGCAGAAGTACCTCTGGTCCCATCCCATAAAGCCTTGCAGCACAGCGATGGCTTTTTCCTAGCAGCACACTGTGCCTGGCTGGTGAACTGTGCCCCACACATCCTTTGCATTCTCTGATCCAAAGCGTACCCTCCCCAAGACAAATTCATTTAGCTGAGGAATATAGTACACAAGCCAGAAGCAAGCATATTCTAATACGTTATTTGAATGTCAGAACAACTGTGACTGAAGGTTTTATAAAACTACATAAGTGTAAGTAAGAATGTAATCTTGCAGACATATTTACAAAGTGCCTATGTACTGTACTATTTGTGAAACTTAGAGATGGTTTAAATATCTCTCACTGTGCCTAGGAGGAGTGTCAGATTATAAATGTAGAGGCACAAGTGCAGAGATAAGTTTATATTTGTAAAGTTAGGTTACACCAGCAGACAATTTGAAGATTCAAGCATGAGAGATGTGGGCGTGTACTGTGGGGCTCTGTCAATCTTATCTGTATGAGACAACTTGAAGTCTGATTGGCTGTCGAGTCTGTCTTGGTTGTTCACTGAGATTCTGAGAGTGACAGTTATTTTGCTACTCACTGTCAGTTGGTTTTTCTGAGAGTTTAACTGTAATAGCTCTATGTTGGTCTGTTAGAAATAAATCTAGATATATACACAAACTGTTATTTAATTATTCACCAGTAAATAGTTAGATAAACACTATTTAAACTTAACCGTGTTTGGTGTGGTTCTTTTGAGTCTTCCAAAACAAAGAAACATTAACAAATATTTTTAACAAGTTATACATGTTTTCTGTTACATCTGGAGACTCTTGACCTGCTAGATAACCCAAGGGATGGTAAATGTTCAGGGTGCTATTATGGGGAAGGGTCTGCTTATTGTTGCATTTATGGAATTCTTCTTTGACACCCACCTTGGTGACAGAGATGAAGCAGTATAAATATTGTTGATTTTAGGGGCTCAGGGCTGCCTATTCGACAATTCATAGAACCACAAAGCTGGAAGGGGCCATACAGGCCGTCTAGTCCAACCCCCTGCTCAACGCAGGATCAAGCCTAGAATGATAGTTGGAAGGGACCTCCGGGGTCATCTAAGTCCAACCCCCGGCACAATGCAGGGAATTCACAAATACCTCCCACACATACACACCCAGTGACTGCAGTTCCACTCCCAGAAGATGCCTAGAGCATCCCTGACTCAATCGCAGTCCTCAACTGGCAGCCCAAGAGGTCTCTGTAATCTGTGTGCAATCTGCCTTTTGGGTAAATGCTCTGATCTTTTCTGTTAACTAGTTTAGTAAAGGTAAAGGTTCCCTTGCTCGAAAGCCAGTCGAGTCCGACTCTAGGGTTGCGGTGCTCATCTCCGTTTCAAAGCCGAAGAGTCAGCGCTGTCCGAAGACGTTTCCGTGGTCATGTGGCCGGCATGACTAAACACCAAGGCGCACGGAACGCTGTGACCTTCCCATCAAAGTGGTACCTATTTATCTACTTGCAATTTCTTGCTTTCGAACTGCTAGGTTGGCAGGAGCTGGGACTAGAGACGGGAGCTCACTCCGCCATGCGGCACCCGGGTCTCGAACTGCTGAACTACTGACCTTCCACAGCCTGCAGTTCAGCGTCTTAACCACTTGAGCCACCGCAGCTCAATAAAACAGAACTTAGTGCAAGCTTCTGCCTTTGCCTCTTGCCTGCTGAGACTCAGCATCCCACTGGTCTGTATCCGGCTCACAGAACCAGAGGGCAGCTGGGTCCTCAGGTGCCAGCCCAGGATCAGGTTTTTCTCTCTGAGCCAAAGCGTACCCTCCCCAAGACAAAACTCTAGAGATTAAGGTCATACTTGTTTCCTGTTCCATCTGGAGACCCTTGACCTGCTAGATAACCCCAGGGATGCTAAATGTTCAGGGTGCTATTATGAGGAAATGTTCAGGGTGCTATTATGAAAGTACCAATTTTAAATAACTCATTCAATGGCAAAATACGTAGAGACAAACAGCTAGTTAACAATACATCAGCATACACACTGCCTATTGATCCTATAGCACAGGTGAAGTTAAGCTGCTGGTATTTCTCCAAGTGTCTTAAGGGTCAGGGGCTGTTCTGGGCAGCCCTGTTTCCTGCCACCGCTCAGTAGGTACCACATCATCACCTGCTTGTTTGCAGTCCTTCTTCTCCGTTGCTTCTCAAGGACGCTTTGGACAGTTCATCTAAGGCACTTCTGTACTCCTTGCAACTGTGAAGGGAAAGGACGCGTGAATTGCCCACCATCAAAGTGCCAACCAGGAGAGCCAGCCCCCAGGCAAAGGGCTCGATCTCCACGGAAGGTTTCTGAATACACAACAGACCTCGCGCACGCAGCACTGACGTTGCTCCTTGCTGTCTGCTCATGCTAAGTGAAGGTGGTCGTATTGAAAGCTACCTTGTCTGCACGGGGAATGCACAGCACGAGTTATTTGCCTTAATACTGGGATTAGGTATTTATACGCTGAACCACAGGATTCTTGATTTTACATATTAGAACTAGATCTGAGCAACCTCCATTATTTTTCATAATTCCTCCCTCCCACCCCCTTGACTGACACTTGACTGGCTGGAATGTTCTGGACCTCCTGAAAGGCAGCAAAACATACTCAAGTTCTCATTAGAGCTGTTTTTGGATAGGTCCTTTTTGTCAGTTTCAGCACAGCGGTGTTTTCCTACATGCCTGGAGATCCCTCCGTTTGCCCCCCTCCCAGCATGTGGAAATCCCCACCTTGTCTTGGGCAGGCCATTTCACTGCTGTTAATGGTAGGCACAGGGCCATTAAATTTGTTATAGTAGAAGGGCACTGACACTTGGGCAAATGTCTGAGGAAAGACCCAGGAACCTCAACAGCCAGAGAAATATTTCCCCTCTATAGAGTACCCCCTTCCTGAATAGGATCTCTCTCACTCAAGTTTAAAAAGAAGCCAAGATGGGTTTTACGAATGAGGGTCTAAAACAGGATGGATGGAAAAGATTTAGACCCCAGAATACCATTCCCTGTTACATATGGAAGGTCGGCATAAGGCTGCGTTTCTATTTCCAAAGCACAGAAATAACTCACAAAGCAGAACTGACCCATCTACCTGAGAGCGAAGGCAATGATGGAGCTGGGTTCTCTTTCGCAGACTGCAATGGGAACGCGCTCATGCTCATACATCAAGTAATGCTTGTCGGGCTCACTGCAGTTAAAACACAAGAGAATTTTAAAGGCTAGTATTTATTTTCCCTAGACACTAAAACGACTAAAGTGAGGCTACCGTACTTTGGCCACATTGCGAGAAGACAGGAGTCACTCACTGGAAAAGTCAAGAAGGCTAGGAAAAGTGGAAGGCAGCAGGAAAAGAAGTCGTGCCCAACACGAGATGGACTGACTCTATAAAGGGAGCCACGGCCTTCCGTTTGCAAGACTGAACAAGGCTGTTAACGATAAGACGTTTTGGGGGTCATTCATTCACAGGGTCGCCATAAGTTGGAAGCGACTTGACCAGCACTTAACATACACACACATTTATTCTATGATTGGGGTTTTTTTGTTTGCATTGTTTGCAGCTTTTGTAATCTATCTTGGCCCTGACTTGGGTGACCCAGGCTAGCCCGATCTCATTGGATCTCAGACGTTAAGCAGGGTCAGCCCTGGTCAGTATTTGGATGGGAGACCACCGAGGAATTACAGGGTCGCTCTGCAAGAGGCAGGCCATGGCAAACCACCTCTGTTTTGGCCTCTTGGCTTGGAAATCCCACGGGGTTGCCGGGGTCGGCTGCAACTTGACAGCACTTTACACACACAATGGATCAACGAGAAAGACATACAATAAAGGAAGCAACTAACTAAATACCGAAGAGCAGATTGGTTAAGATGGAATAAGAGAAGGAGATTATTATTATTTTTAGACATACCAGGTAAAAAGCAGGCAGATCCACACACAGACTAATCCCGTTAGAAATTGTCTGATGCCATTACGTTTCAGTGAATGACGGGACGACACGAAAAGCAAACACTGCTCATTTTTGTTAAGTTTTAGGAGGGTAGCCATGTTGACCTGCAGTAGAACAACTAGACTTGAGTCCAGTAGCTCCTTAAAAAGGTAAAGGTAAAGATTCCTTTGCTCGAAAGCCAGTCGAATCCGACTCTAGGGTTGCGGTGCTCATCTCCGTTTCAAAGCCAAAGAGCCAGCGCTGTCCGAAGACGTTTCCGTGGTCATGTGGCCGGCCTGACTAAACACCAAGGCGCATGGAACGCTGTTACCTTCCCACCAAAGTGGTCCCTATTTATCTACTTGCAATTTCTTGCTTTCGAACTGCTAGGTTGGCAGGAGCTGGAACTAGAGACGGGAGCTCACTCCGTCATGCGGCACCCGGGTCTCGAACTGCTGAACTACTGACCTTCCACAGCCTGCAGTTCAGCGTCTTAACCACTTGAGAGCTCCTTAGAGACCATTATTTTCAGGGCGGAAGCTTTCACGAGTCAAAGCTCCCTTTATCAGAACTTTCCCCCTTACTCACAACTAAGTGAGGCTGAATTTGACTCAACTGCATTCAGTCACATTCCCCCCCCCCCCTCACATACATTTCCACACCATTGTAATAATGACGTTTAGTCTTGTTAGGCAATGAAGACCTAAAAATAGATCTTGCCTGAACATCAACCCCGTTTTCCTACTCCACCATAACCAGGATTTTACTCACAAAGGGGACGGGATGGGATTGTAGCTGTTTCCAGGTAAGAGGTTTGCCAGGATCGCTTTCATGGTCGATTTCTCTTTCACCTGGCTGTCCGTGGAGCCCAGCAAGTGACCATCGAATGGATCTGAAACAGAACGTCAATTATTGTCTCAGAATTACGGTTCTTGAGGTAATCTTCATTTTAATAGCTGAAAGGCAGGATATACGCCAATACAAACTTCCAAGGGTTGGGCATTTAAGGCGGCTTTACAAAAATTTAAACTCGCACACCCAAAACTGGTTTTCAAAGAGTGCACCAAAATGACAGTAGCAGGGGTGGAAACTAGCCAGAGGGTCAAAAATACTGATTTTACTGACCAAAATTCCAAAAAAACTGACCAAATACTGACAAAAACCTGACAAATTACTGAACAATTTAATGTCAGCCTGTTGATAAGCTAACGTTTTAAAAGTAAAACTAGGACTTCATTAAAAATTATTATCTGGCCTCCACCACCAGCCCCGTAGTCAGATGTGATCCGGATAAAAGGATTGCACACCTTTTTATTGATTTTTTAAATGAAGACAGGACAATGTTTTCATTATTGTACAAAATTTAAGGCAAAAAAAGATTTCCTTTAAAAAATAATCACATACTGTAGATAATAAAACAGCACAATATTAAAAACCACCCATAAAGTAATCATTATGACAACAAAACATAACTACTGTAAGGTAAGACTTGGCTTTGCTTTTACTTTATCTTTGTTTTTTTGGATTAAAAAAGAAGTTATTAACGAACTCTTTCGTTTCTCTACAGTTTTCTACACTGCATCCACAAGCATTTTTTTCTTGTCCTCTTCTTCCATTGCTTTCTCCACTCCTTCGAGCATGAGCTGTGCCATGTTGAATCCCACCATATCCTTTTTCCCCAGCAGCCTCCTTTAAACGTTTGGTT